TGCAATGTTCCATGATGCTGGATGGCCACGGAGAGTTCCCAGATTTGCCCCAGAGGCCTCCCTGGATGTGCCATGAGCACATGCTCGTGACACTGTGTGGCTGAGGTGGGGACGGACTGATGTGAAGACACTGGTGGAGGTGCCTCCCTCCTGCCTTGCTTTCATGGAAGAAATACATACACTCAAAAAAAAAAAAAAGGTATTACAATTTAGCTGGTGGATGGATGATATGAATACAGCCAGAAAGATGACCTTAAAACTCAGTTATGTGTGTATGTACTGCTTTCAAAAGGTTTTCGTGTGGGATCGTATTTAGGATGAGATGAGTTTAAGAAGAACACAAGCAAAGAGGGAAAGCAGGACTTCGAACAACTGTTTCCTCAGAAAGAAACAAAAAAGAAACAAGCTAAAGATCAGAAAAAGATCTTTTCATGCTATTTCACTCTGCCACACAGTTTACTGGCTTTCCCTCCTTCCGATTTCTCCTTTCACAAAAGCACCCATTGGAATAGCTGACTAGAATGTGTAACATGACCTAAAAGTCCATGTGTATGTTTATCGTGTGTATGTGTGTGGCACTTGAGAGTTCTAGCTCTTTTGACGACTGAAAGCTTTTTATATTTTTCTAAATCAATATTTACCAAGGTAAAATATACAATTTTCAATAAATGAGTCCTACTGTATCTTAATATCTCATCGGCAACAGCAAACATTCTAAAATGTACTTTCGGAAATTTTAAAGCTACGCGTTTCCCACTGAATAGTGTTTCTTTTTTCAAAAAAAATTACACATAATAAAGTTCATGCTTTCCATCTGATCAGACCTCCCTGATCATCCCATAATAATACAAAAAAATTAAAGAGCGGACATTAATAAGAGATCAATAAGAGACTATCAAACTTTAAAACTGTCATTCTGAAATATTTTATTTGGATTGTGAAATTTGCATGGCCCTATGGGTTCTCATCAACATACTCCTAAGTTTCCCCAGTCTTCCTGCACCTCTGTTGGGTTGCATGGGGAGTGTGCCAACATCTGGCCGCCAAACAGTTCTTTCCTTGAACGTCCCTCACAAACAGGGACAAGAAAGCAAAAGCAGAAACATTCGATTTCTTTCAGCCCTGGGTCTGGATTTGATTAGGCCACTGCCTATTTTTACTAGACCTATTTTAACTTATGGGTAGCTTTGGGCATAAGAATTGATGAGCGCAGATTTCTATTAATTCTCCAGATACTTAAAGAACATTGCAAGTTTTAAATGAATAAAATCCATGAAAAAGTATTTATACTTCTGTTTATATAACACTCTCATATGTGTCTATACACACATATATAATAAGACAATGGATGAAAATAGGTTTTGCCAATAAAGTAGGATCCATGCATTAGTTATAAATGTGTGTAGTTAAAATGCACTGAATATCTGTAGTTAGCCAGAATTTATAGGGTTTGTTGCTTTTTGGAGATCTGTTAGATATTTGCGGAATAGATATTTCACTGTGTTAAAGATTTCCCTTTCCATGGGGCCTACAGATGGCACAATGGTTACGTCCCTGGACTCCCACATGGCCGACCACGGTTTGTGTCCCAGACCTGGTGGCTTGATACTCATGCTGGGCGCATGTGTGTGCATGCCCAAGATTCCAGGAGGAGAATGGAGTAGAAAGGATTGTGGCATGGCCAGTCTACTGGGGGATGATTTTTCACTTTCTCTCTCACTCTCTCTGTCTCTCTCTCTCTGGTGATTGCATGAGCCCTAAAACAAAAAAAAAATCCCTAAAAATAAAAATGTCCTTTTCTGTTAGCATTGCCTATAGTTTACTGAGCCATACTTCTTGTTCAATATGATTGCTATTTTATATGCTGTTTAATGATGGGTTTGTCACCTTAAAAACTGATGGTGAATATGCTGGGACTTCTTTTTGAAACATTTCTCTGTAACTCCATCTATACTAGGGTTGGAGGAAAGAACTAGAGGGATAGTGGACTGTTTAAATAAGAGAGTATTCACTGCATATGGTGTGCTCTTGTATTGCCTTCTTTCTTTCAAACCCCAAAGAAGTGCTGTATTGAAAAGTTAAAAACTAAAAAAAGTCCTGTCAATTAAAATGCATGGATAAAAGAAGCAGTGCTAGCAGAGCACTGGTCTAAACATCAGGAAATGAGAGAATAAATCCAGTTTATAGGACTCCCTAGCCCAATTGCAAAGATTACTCAGGTCCTTTAAATATGTGATGTCTCAATTTTCTATTTTGTAAAATGAGATTAATATTGTCACATTTTTTGCCTCGTAGCAACACACCCACCCACACATATATGAAGGTGGTATATGGCTGACCATGGTTCAAGTCCCAGACCTGGCAACTTGCTTTCTCACTTTCCCTCACTCTCTTTCTCTCTGCCTCTCTCTTTGGTGAGCACAGGTACCCTATGGCAAATTAAAATAATAACAACAACAACAATAATAATAAACAAATAAAATAAAATAAATAATTCTTAAAGAGAAGTTGGTCTAAAAGCACCAACACGACATAATGTTAGATATTGAGCATTTACTACATGACAGGTATTTAACTCATAGAACTACGTTTAATCTTCACTCAACACCATGAAGTTGGTATAATTATTATCTTCTTTTTCCCGAAGACAATGCAAGTCTTAGACTGAGTTACTTGCCTAAGATGGTCAACTTAAATAAGTTCAGATCCAAAACTTAAATCTAAATTATCTGGTAGTAAATTCTGTGAGTGTCATTACTACCTAGATTTGTGAGTTATGAATAAACAAGCCACGTAAGTATGACGTTTTATTCTTACTGCATTAGCCTAGAAAAATTATTTCCACTTGCCAATGGATAACGAGATACATGAGGAAAATGTCTATCTTTCCAAGCCAGTACTTGAGATTTTTCAGAAACCGTTTCTCCTTCATGGCAGAACCAGAGGTAAGTTTAAAGTTAAAGCATGAGTTTAAAAATGATATATTTTCTTTAAATTAAAATATATTAAGGGACTAGCAGTTAGTGTAATGGCTATGTTGCTGGACTCCCATGTAGTGATCGCAGTTCGAGTCCCGGACCTGGTGGCTTAAACTCATGCCGGGCGCGTGTGCGTACGTGCCCAAGATCCCAAGAAGAGAATGGAAGAGAAGGGATTGTGGTGTGGCCATTGACCCTGGGGGGTGATTTCTTGCTTTCTGTCTCTCTGTCTTTCTGGGGAGCACACATGCCCTATAGCAAAAACCTTTCCAAAAAATAAAATAATAAAATAAAGTACTTTAAATAAATTTAGTTAAAAAGTGTGATTAGTTCAGAATTATGTATGTTCAAGTATTGTTCTGTAGTGTTTAGTGATGTCGAGGCTGCCTATGTTCTCTACCGAGGTGAAAAAAGGCAAGAATGAAACACTCTCAAGAAAATGTACAAGGTGGATGAGTAAGGAAACAAATACATTTTTCTGCATTTTCTGATGGTCATTAGCATCTGAAGCTTGAATTAGAAATGAAATTGTTAGTAGGGTAGCCAAGAATTGGTGTTGGAGTTATGGTGGAGAGAGACATGGGTTATAAAACCCGTGCACGTGTGTGTGTGCACATGTGTGTGCACGTGCGCATGTTTGGGAGCAGAGACCGGCGCACTGCAGACGGCATTCTCACCTATCTTGGCTTCATAAACTTTTAAGTTAGGTAGGGATTGATGGGAGGGAGACCATTCTAGGCGTGTCCAAGCCGAGGCAGAGGAGACACCCCAAAGCCCAGCGGAGAACAGCAAGAAGAGCGGGTTACCGTAAATCGGGCTCCAGCGTCGTTGTGAAGATGTCGGCCAGGTGGTCCCCATCTAGCCCGCTCCCAGCCACTCCAGAGTTTAACCAGGCGGACCGAGTTCGCCGTTTTTTCTTTTCCTGCTCCTTGCGTTTCCCAGGCTTGCCTTTCTTTTTCTTCCCGGGCGTCTTGAGCGGCTGCTCTTTGTATGTCTCCACCTTGTTGGTTTCCTGAGTCAGGTATCTGCCCTCATCATCAGACCCGAATCGAACCGGGTGGTTCTTCGTGTTGGGAGAGGGCTTTGAGTTAGGGGAGACCTCCGAGGTAGCTCTGATTTCGGCAGTGTGGATTTCTGCGATCAGGTGGTGAAGAAAGAATCGGCGGCGTAAATCCTGGATAGACTTCCCTTTATCATGGAGGAGCTGATGTTCAGACACAGCTCTTTTGCTTTAGGAGGAAACATAGCAAGGGAAGAAAACCATTAAAATCTAGGAATAGGTAGAGACAACAAAGACACCAATACATCCCTCTAGTCCTCTAGCTGGTCCGCTGAGAGCGGAAGCTGGA